AGACTATACTTCACGAGCAAAATGCTTGCCATCAAGATGCATCGGCCTTCTCTAGCGACCATTCCTGAAAGATACATAGCACGCGATATTAACAGCTAATTACTTAATCTCGTATGGATAATTAATTACTGTGTTTTTCATCTTAGCAACTGAACTGAATATATATTTAAATATATAGTCCGCTTGAAGAAGCCCTAGAAGGTAAAATACCTTTAAGTAGATCTTGGATACTTATTATTTTATTCTTTATATATAGTAGATCTGCCACTAGGCCTTTCTGTCTTCTAGGATTTCTTTATGCGGACCTGAACATATATATATATATCGTGTGACAGGAAAATGATAACAACATTTATAAATCACAAGAAGACCAATTCTTGAAGCTTTTCGCTGCTATACATCTTTTCATGAGGATAAATATATTTTGAAAGTACAATCAGTCAACGTATCAATGTAGCGGACGTAAACAATGATGAAATACAATACACACCGCAGGGACCTTACTAACAGCAAACAATCAGGAGTTTTCTTTTTTTATCATTTCCAGAGCAGGTATATACATACATAGATGTAGCAACAACAAGTATCTCCGGACAATCACCATATAACTAACAAAGAAAGGTGAATGGCGGAACAATTGGAAACCTGCCTGATGCGACTAATGATACAAAACCACACTCGGATACATTCACGTGTATATGCCAGAAACACCTGCAAGTCTGGTATTTGTGTGAAGTTATTCTTTGACGAAGTTCAAAGCCCGTCTAACCGATGTAGAAATCCGAACAATTTGAACAAGCTGAAGAATACACCACGCTCCGCTTCGACAGTAAAATTTAATTTGCGACAGTATAGTCACGGTATACCGCCGAAAATTTCAAAATAAAGTAGTGTTATCCCCTAATTACTGACATTGAATCGGATTTACTCAATATGCATAAAATTTGTGGTTATGTGGGGTTTTTTACCTTACAATGTTAGCGTTATGTTAGAGATGATTTGAAAGAAAAAATAAATCCATAGCGTCAAAGACAACAAACTTGATTATACTTACCCTGTACCCCATTTGTTGATAAACTTTCAACGCGTAAAGAAGCCGATACCTCAAGTGTTTTGTTGTGTTTTTGTTGAAATGCATTTCGTCGTCTGCGTTTTGACTGTCAGAATAAGGAAAACGCACATAAAATATGTGAAAAGGCGTAACAGAGAAACATTAAGAGTAAGAAAATTAAACTAATAATAGGAATTGAAATTACAACATCAGCAAGCAGTACATTCTTTAATTTCTAACAATATTATTCACATGCGTATTTATGTATAGGCTAATATGAGTATTAGTCGTTTGAAGTGTACTTGCCGACGGAGTAGTGGAAGGTGCAATTGTTGTTTCCGGAGTTGTAACATTAACTATACAGGTGATGACTACATGGTCTTTACCAATAAATCTGAAACCAGTCATAGTTGCTGATGCCGTCTTCAACTTCTTTTCATAAAATTGTTTCAAAACATTGTTAGCGCTGACGGTACTCCTGTATTGGCAAAGAGAGAAATACGTTAGTTGTGTAATATCATATTCCTTTTCAATATAAACAGTATGGTCAAATGTACATATTGGTGATACGCATTGAATGTTTTTTTTTTTTATTTCCCTAATAATAAAAGTATATCACTGCCTATATCTTTTGTATATGTTGAGTACATTAAAAACATTTGAACAAAGTCCTAATCATCAATCACCCAAAACAGTCACTATATGTGTTATTTTGGTGTAAAGAATTATTTTGAGAATGGTATATGTTTTATAGATTTTGTTACAATAAGGTATTATTTTATGTAAAGATAAGGATGTGACAATAAAATCAAACGCCATAAGAACATATCCCGCATCTGGTATTAACTATAGGAGCACACCAATTTATTAAGATTTTACCTAAATTGAAAGAGCTTGACTTTTTGTGCATGGAAATAAGAACATCACACATATTCTACAGCAGACGAAGACATCTAATAAAATCAACAATAAAATGAAATACTGTTATTTTCACACGACAACTTTAAAAAGAATTTGTATTGAAAATATAAATATAAATATTTCGGCAAACAGTTTAAACTAAAAACTGCTGATTAACATATGTGCTTACCCATTATTATACAGATTCACCGTTTCGCTCTTTGTATCGTCGGGGGAGGCATCGCACGACACTACATGGATATGCAGGTTGTCCACTTGAAAAAACTATGCATATTAATATTTCACTTAAAACAGTTTATTTTAGTTTTTAAATAATGAACGGATGTGTTTTTATATACATGTTTACGGGCCTTCATAACTCAAAATATGATTTGCATTTGCAATTGGCCACGGAAAGGTCAGGGATTTAAAACATTCATTA